GTGTTTTAACCTTATTTCACTCTGTGCCCTGCAGTGCTCACTGAGAACTCCTGCTAGGGCTAGTGTGGGTACAGAGGGAGAGCAAGATTCTGGGAGAGAGTGAGAGCTACACCAGCCAGAAATCACAGGACAGGGGGCTGCTGCCTCTTCTTCTATAATAGCCAAATGCTTTTCTTTCAGTACTGGGGATGAACACGCTCGTGGGAACTGGGCTTACCTGGATCAAGTGGCGGCTCTTCAGTGGATCCAAGGAAATATCGAACACTTTGGTGGAGATCCAGGATCTGTCACGCTCTTTGGTGTATCTGCAGGATCCTGCTCTGTTTTTGCACATGTAGGCATACAGTAGATAAATTAGAAAGATAAGTCTTTAAAAAAAAAAAAATCTTCAAAAACTCATTTAGTGCAACGTTTTGTGCTTAACCTTATTTTGACGGTGAGATTAATGGCACATTGTGCTAAGTCTGGAGACTTCCCTTGTAAGCAAATAAAAGTGTGTAATTCCCCACTGAATCCAAGAGTCGAATCAAGCATAAAGTTTGGGATAAGGATGTTAATGTAGAATAATTTTTGTTCTCCCCTTCTTGGCAGGTTTTATCTCCTTTGTCTAAGGGTCTCTTTCATAAAGCAATATCAGAGAGTGGAATTTTACTTCCCCCCAGCAGAGAGTTACTTCTTTCAGTACATCCTAAGGTAGGCTTGGGTTTTTTGCATTTTAAAGCCTTCATAACCTAAATTAGGATATTTATATGTGATCATATGGTTTTAAAAAAAAAAAAAAAAGGGAACATTTCATTGCATATCATGCAACCAAGTTGATCAAGTCTATTCTCACAGCACACCTATTTATTTTCAGTCTTGTTTGGTGTTAGAAAGAGGTTGTACAGGTGTGTGATTATAACAGCAGTGGGTTGATGTGGGTATTTTCAGCTACACACGTGCCAAGCAAGGCAAATGTCCATTTTTGTACCCACTGTTCCCTATAGAGTAACTGTGGCATTTATTATGGAAAGTTTAATGAGAACCCAGAAGAGGCATTCAGTTTTCATTGAAGTGTGGTCTTTTATGGAGAGTTTTTATGTGAAGTAAAGTAGATAAATATAAAACAAAATACCTTCAAATAAAATTCCTTTTGTAAGTACCTTTTAATTTCTCCTCCTTCAGCAGCAGGTGGTAATGTAAATATCTCAGAAACTGATTTTCTGAATTTTCTTTCCTTGTTTGGTTTATGCTGTAACCTTGTATTTTCTCTAGATTAGAGTACGTTGTAGAACAGGGAATGGAAATACAGCAAGAAAGATAGGTATACCAGAATGATTTCACTGTGTGTGTAGTATCTCCAGTAAAATAAAATACTCAAAGATCTATCAAGCTCACCTAAAGCTGCCCTTAAGGAAAACTATTTACAGTAGTGTGTATAATAATTTTCTGTTTATGAATCCCTTCAAGACCACCTCACAGCTAACAGTCTTTGTGAACCATTTTCAGAAAATTGCAGATATCTTTAAGTGTGACATGAGCAGTTCCCTCTCCCTGTTAAACTGCTTAAGGAAGCAGGAAGCAGACCATATCATCTTCAACACCACGGTAGGTGAGACTCTAGAGAGCTACGGAATATTTAACTTGCATTGCTCAGCCTCTGACCACAGTTCATCGTTGCTCTGCTCCAAAAAAATTGATTTTTCTTCACTTTCATCGAAGTAGCCCCTAAATGTTGAAATATCCCATCATTTCTCTCTGTCACAGGATCAGGAAACCATCACCTTACTCCATACCTTGGCCCAACCTGCCTTGCACTTTATACTCTTGTGCCAAACTAGATCTGTGTTACAGTGGCTGTAGATCCTCGGATTTCTTAAAGCCCTGTTTTTGGCACTTGAAGCATTAAATGTGGACACCTTCTATGCTTTGGATTGAAAATACTGTTAACAAGTAATTTGATCTTTTTTTTTTTTCTCCTCCTCCTCCTTCAGGATGTGCCATTTCTGCCCATAGTTGTGGATGGAGTATTTCTTCATAAATCACCTGAAGAGATAATGGCTGGAAAAGAATTTAATGCGGTTCCATTCATGATAGGAGTCACCAACAATGAATTTGGCTGGAACATCAGATCTGTAATTTAATGGTTATTCTTTGGGTTTTTTTTTTTTTTTAAATGTTTGTTAACTGGTAGAAGCAACTTGAGAAGGTTATTTTCTGGTAGGACCAGGCTTTGCATTGTTGGAAATACAGACAAGGTAAACTTTGCTTGCATTGGCTCTGTAGTGACCCAGAACCATCAATTTTGTGCAGCATTTTCTTATCCTAACGTTTTAATCCCTCACCCAGGCAGAGAGAGGGAAAAGAACACAACATCCAAGAGCTTATTACTGAAAGTAAACCAAACCAAAATCCTTTCCCTCACAAGGCACAGGAAAGCCAGGGGTCGATACACGGAGCGTTTAAAAATGGGACGCGGCTCCCCCCGTGTGTCATTATTGCTCTGCAAAAAAAAGCTTTCCTTTGGAAACCTGCCCTGGGGATGGAGGATGGGAATGATGCAGGTATCCAGCCCATTCTCTGTGTAGAAATTCTTTCCTGAACTCAATGAGTAACTCAAAAAAAAAATAGGCAATTGTTGTCACTGCAAAAAGCTTCAGGAGATGGATTTGTGTCCTCCGGACAAATCCATCTCCTGAAGCTTTTTGCAGTGACAGCAATTGCTCATTTTTTTTTTGGCTCCTGGTTTTTTTGTTTTTTTTTTTTTTCATCTCCTGAGTATTCAGGCTGTGTAGTCAGTCTGAACCTGCCCAACAGCTGTGTCTCTGGGAATTGTTTTCTGGGATGCTGTGGAAGAGGAGGAGCAGTGACACAGAGCCCCGCCAGTGGCTTTTAAGGTCTCCAAAAACCCCGTGAGACAGAAGAAGCTTCTTGCTTCAGCTCTGCCCTGATTCTTTCTAGTCTCACGAGTTTCTTAATGTCTGTTGATTTAAGAATAAGCTCCTTAGCACGAGTTGTTTGGGTGGAAACCTTCACCAAGGAAACATTTACTGCAGTAAATGCAGTGCTGCACTTCTGCCTGTGATGCTCCCAAAAATAAACACCAGCAGTAAGAGTAAAGTGGAATCATGTAGTTCCAATGTTCAAAATAATGAACTTGAATGGTGCTAATAATATTCTTTTTTTTTTTTTTTCCTGTGCAGACATCAAAAATAACGGGTTTGAGGGAAATAGGAGATAAAAAATCGATTGCTTCAACTTTAGAGTTTTTTCTGCCAATGATAGTAAGTACTGCTGGCCTGATTTAATTTGAGAAGGGAATTTTCTTTTTCAAGCATAGAAGAGCTCTGAGTTATAACGTTGCTAAGATTTGAGGTCATGTTATGCTTTGGGGAGCAAAGTTGAGAGGACTGGGGTGTTAACACAGAAATAGGATTGAGCCAGGCCTGGGATATGGGGAAATGTTTTCCTTCCCAGATTTCTGAAGCAACCTTTTTATCTTCCCTGTTTGTATGTGGGATTATGGTAACAGTGTCCCTAATGCTCAGGTATCTCCTGGCTGAATCTCCTGCTTGATGGGTTTGTTTCGAGGCAGGATTTCTCAAGGTGTTTACATGAAATTAGAAGCAGCTTTTAAAGTAGTTACTTTACACTCCTAAAGTGTATCTTCCAAGCAGCAAATTCTAACACTAACAACCTGCCCTGTGTTCCAAGATCCAGTTGGTCTTGCCCTGTAGTCTAATAGTCCACAAATCTTTCAAGGACTCAGAGGATTTACTTTTGTTATTTCCATCTCTTTCCTCCTGAAGGAAACAGAAGCCAGAGGTATTTTCAGGAAAAATTGCTGGATCTTTGAGTCCTATAGAGTTTTAACCCATATAAATCTGGTGCAAATTTGACCTGAGATGGCTGGGGGGTTTAGAGTGGGTTTTTTGTTTGTTTGGTTTTGGTGTGATTGGTTTTTGTTGGTTTTGGTTTGGGGTTTTGGGGGTGGTTTTAGTTTTTGTTGTTGTGTTTTGGTTCTGTTTGGCTTTTTATGTTGGTGTTGGGGTTTTTTTCCCCTCACAAAAAGTCTGAATGGATTTTATTTCCCATCAACATGGGAGCCATCCTGAACCTTTGTGCCTTTGCAGAATCTCTGAAGTTAAATGATGACATTTTTAGGTGCTAATTTAGACACTGATGATTTGTCTGTTTGTTTTCCTGTTTCCCCTTTGTCTCTCAGGATCTACCATCAGATTTTCTGCCCAGGATAGTAGATGAATACATAGGAGACACAGCTGATCCTGCTGAGCTAAGGGACCAGTTTCTGGACTTGCTGGGGGATATGGCAATTGTCATGCCAGCCATTAAAGCCCTGAATTATCACAGGGGTAAGCTGAGGAACTGCAGCAGGAGATTCAAACCTCTCACTGCATGCTGCATCAAAGGATGCAGACACAAATCCTGACGTGTAGGCAACCCTTCTAGAGATTCCCACTGGGAACTGGAGGGTGAAGAACGATGTAGATCTGCAGGGGGGTGTGTGTGGTCCTTCATCTTTGTCCTAGTGTCTTGCACTGTGCTCATAATCATAATATAGTGAGACCAGAGCATGATAACACAGGTAAATGTTTGCTAACTGAACTATACAGGCTTACAAATTAAAATATATCAAAGCAACCTTTGCCCTTTGGCCCACAGCTTAGTGGGAAGTCAGCAGCTCTGTGGTCTGGAGATTTCTAAAAATCATGACAAACCCTGCCAAGAAACCAGAACTGGAAATAATTTGATGTTATTTTGTTTTCTGGAACTTTTCCTGTGGTGAACTTTGGTTGGGTTTGGTGTTTTTTTTCTTTTTTTTTTTTTTTGGGGGGGGGGGGGAGAAGTACTACGAGTTCTTAATTTTGAATTAAAAATAAAAGTACACATTTGAGTGTGGCATTACGTTAGAAATGTGCCCAGTATAAAGCTTTGGGCACGGTTAAAGTGGTATTTTAAACAGCTGATGTCAACTGCACTTTGTGCATCCCTTTAACTCTCTAAATATTCCATTTTCCAGAGTCTGGAGCCCCCACCTACTTCTTTGAGTTCCAGCACCGCCCCAGTTCGTACTGGGACAGCAAACCAGAGTATGTGAAGGCTGACCATGGGGATGAAGTTGGCTTTGTCTTTGGGGGACCCTTCCTGGCTGGAGAAATTCAGCTGCGCAGTAAGGAACACTCGTTAATGTTCCCACAGAAATGAGTCTTGGAACTGACATCATCACATATTTTAATCAGACTAAAGGGCCTCTATTTACAGGGAGACCAAAGAGAATTTGTTTTGCACTCTTTGTGTTCCCCATGTGCAGTTTGCTCATTCTGAAGCACAGTAAGTTGTACATGTTGTTAACAATTTAGCCAATAGGACACCTGCTGAAAAACTCACAGCCTTTAGACCAGCACTGGGCATGCATTTGCCAAATAGCTTTGGCTGGAAAATAAACTGAAGGGAAGATCAGTTGTGCTTGAAGGGGATTGCAGAGTGCTTGGGCAGCAGGAAATCTGGAGATCTTCTTCTCCTGAGGAGTTCAAGGTGGTGTCTCCTCCTCTCCAGGCAATCCCTGGGGCTGTCAGGCTCCAGGGAATGGGGGACTTGGTCTCTTTTGCAGATACTGTTCCAGCTGTGTTCAGAGCACAGCTTGGGACTGCAGTGTTTCATTTGCTGCAGCAAGACCTAATGCTTAGGTTAAAGACTATATTGCCCCATGACTCAGTTAATACTAAGCATTTTATTTAAAATGGAACCAGTCCACTGAGGGAGGATTAAGGGTGTAGTCCCAACATTGTCCTGAGATTTGGGAGGTGCCTTCAGGCAGAATCCCACATTGGTACATTCCAGATAAAGGTGCCAGCCACTGAACAGCTCAGGTACACGATGCCACATCCTAGGGAATATTGTGAATCCAGCAATATGCTTTCATTATATATGCCTAAAACTATAATACTCAGAATGGGGTATTTTCTTTCCCATGAAACAAATTAGGGACAGTTCTTATTTTGGCAAAGAAAACACAGAAATTCTACTTTAAGTGAATTCACAATTTTTTCTGCTGTTATTTTTGTCATTTGAAAAGTAGTTCATAGTCTGTTTCAAAGCTTATGTAAATGAAAGTATTTCCTTTTACTCCACTGAACTTTGGAGCAATCCAGCTATGTTGTAAAACCCTTTGTTAATCTGTTACTAGAGCCTTTTGATTTGCTTGTATTTTAGATTTATTTTTTTTTTACTTCCATACTTACTACAGTAGGAAACACTGTCCAGTTCTTTTCCTGCTTGCCTGAATTTACCGAGGGCATTAACATAACAAATATTTTTCTCTTAACGTGTTGAGATGCATTTATAATTAATAACACACTGCAGTTCTTTCCCCCTGGTGATGCAGTGGGCTTGTGTGTCACTGTGTATACATGGGCATTCTTGAAGTGCTGACAAATGGCATCACCTCGGGTCAGAATGAAGAAATCTTTGCCTCATCACACTGAGTGATGGGGAGGATTTCAGCCCCACAAAGCTGCAGTGAAATTCCAGGAAGCTCAGCCATGTGGCCCATTCCTTGAGCTGTGCTGGCAGAACACACGGGGTTCTTTGGTTCTGCTCTTGGTTTCTGGGAAAGCTCCAGGCACATCACCTTGTTTCCTTGTTCCCAAATTGCCTGGTTGTAGGATGAGGATAGCTGTGTCCCTCGTGGAGTGCTGACATCTCGTGATGCTGCCCTGCTAACATTTTGCAGCTATCCTGTCTCTGTTGCAGTTGATAAGCTGTGCAGCATTTTCACAGGCAGAAATGCTGCTCCTGCAGCACTAATGTCTTGATTTTGCCACACATCATAACTATTTTGTGTTTTGCCTTTCAGGTGAAGTTACAGAGGAAGAAAAGAACCTCAGTAGAACTCTGATGAAGTACTGGGCTAACTTTGCTCGAAATGGGTAAGAAGCATGAGTCATGACACATCAGTGCTCTCTACTGACTTCTGTGCCTGGAAAAGGCATTTGCTCCTTCTTTCTTTCTTGTTGTTTACAGAAATCCTAATGGAGAGGGTCTGGTTGAATGGCCATCTTACAACCTAAATGAAGAATACTTGCAGATAAATCTAAAACAAAAGAAAGCCAGCAAGTTGAAAGAAGAGAAGGTGGATTTCTGGAAGAAGCTGATGCTTGAAAAAGCAAATAGGCAAAGAATGGAAAACAAGAAGGTTAATTCAGAGTTATAATTTACAGTCTAAACATGCACATAATATGCAAGGTATTAGGATAGGAAAAGAAATTCCGTAAAGTTATTTTGAGGATAAAATTCTGTTTCCCTTCTTTTCATCTTTTCATCACAGTTGTCATACTTGCAATTATTCATTGTAATAATTCCAGTTGATCCCTCACTTCTTAAACACAGCTACCACATTTCCCCAGTGCTCAGGTTTTTCTGTCACTTCCCCACGACTGAAGACAGAATGTACATAGAATTAAAACATTGTTTTAATAAAATGAAATCAGTGAAAACCCAATTTGCCAGGAAAACTGTCTTTTGATGTCAAGTGTATCAGTGGTGGTACAGAAATTTTGGTGTGCTGTAGACACAGAAATGCCCTGTGTGGAAAGAAAATGAAACTACAGAATGTTCTGCTGTATAAGTTGGTTTTATAACAGAGCCAGTGTAGTTCTGACTGTTGTGGTACATACCTGTCACGGTGGTGTTGGGGTTAGGACTTCTCTCAAATGTTAGAAAAGGGAGGAAATGACACCCCTTTCTTCCTTTTCAGTTCAGCTGCAGCTCCTCTCCAGGGACCAACCCTGCTGGCTTTGTCCTGGTGCTCCTGCTGTGCTGGGGCTGTTCCCTGGGCAGTCAGTCCCTTCCTCTCCCCTCTTGGTGTCTGGAAGCATTTTAGATTCTTCATTAGCTAATAATGGCCTGCAGCAACTAGCTGGCCATCCCTTCTTTCCAAATTACTTCATTGCAAGAATTAGAGTGGGATTTCCTACATCTTTTTACCCAAATTCTGTTGCCAGTCAGAATCAGGAGGTAGGGTGAGATTGTTAGCACAGTTGCTGTCTTAGTAAACAGAAATTCCTTCTAAGCATCTCCCCTCCTCCTTTGTTTTATCTAACGTGCCTGGCAAGGGCAATATAATCTCAAAGTAGTGTTGATAGATTTTCATTGCACAAACCCCTGAGGTCCTGCACCACTCCCTCTCCCAGGGGATAAACCAGGCAGCACTGAATGTGTGCTCATCTTGTGAGTGTGTGCAGAGAGGTGCAGTGGGACTGACCCCAGGTAAAAATCCATCACAGTGGAAAATGTCAACAGAGTTTACTCATATCTGCCTAGAGATGAGTGCTCTGTCCCATCCCAGACATCCTGCTGGGAGTTTACCACACGCAAAAGAGAGTGTTAAAGCTGTCCCAGCTGCTTAGACTCCAGCTCTGTTCTATACTCTGTGGCTTCATTGAACACTCACCAGGGGCTGGGATAGTTGTCTATTTTTTTTCCAGCTGTTGGAATCAAGAAAGGCAGCAGTGCATTAAAGTGCAAAGAGTCAAAGGTCATCATGTGGCAGGATTTTTTTTGATTGAGCCCTGACTTAGGCACTATTCACTGATTGAGGGTAAGCTGCAAAATGTTATCTCTGAACTGCCAAGTAGGACACAGGAGTTGCCCTCCCCAGGTAGGCAGCACTGCTCCAGATTCTGCAAGGCTAGGCTGTGTCACTGGAGTAAGAGTTTCTACCTTTGCAAAGCAATTCTTGCAGATCCATCCAACTGTCTACAGACAAGACTGTCGGGATATAAAATCCTATTTTTTTTTTTATTATATTATATGTGAGGTGAGCAGAGTTTGCAGAAACTGGTTTGCACACAGAATATTTTCTGAATGGCTGCTTCTCCGGGCCTGGGGGTGGGATGTGGACTGAGACTTTTTGCAGAACAGGTACTTGGGAGAGAAGCAGTGAGCAGAACAAAGACTGGAGGGGAAGAATTGGAAAGTAGCAATGAAGGGGAAAAAGAAAAGGAAAGTAAATGAAAAATACAGAGTTTAGTAAAATCAGTAAAGATCAGGGGACATAAAATAAATTGTTTATGGAAATAAATGAAGTTTGTCACAGCAAAAGGAAAGAGCAGCAAACAGAGTAAACAGTATTTGGCTTTGCAGCAAAAGACTCCTCCTGTAGTTTGTGGGTCACAAGTGAGGTGAGACTGCGCATGTCCATCAGGATGAGAGGTGAGTCACAAGGAGGGATTCCTGTAGTTTCACCTCTCAGGGAAACAGTTTTGCCTTGCCAGGAACCAAAGCAGTCCAAGGTTAGCGGAGACAGAGAATCTGAAATGGCATCTGGGCAGGCAGACAGGAGGTCAGAGTTTCCCAGTGGGCAGTGCTGCTGCCCTTGGCATCTCAGAGACCTTTATCCCACAAATAAAGGTAAAAGATAATATGTTAATAAGCTGCATCAGTTGTCCCCCAGGCCCCTGTTTGCACGGGCTGCATTAGGCAGTGCAGCTGGCAGTGCACAGGGAGCACTGGCCATGCCCTCAGGCCCAGGAGAGCTGACACCAGCACAGCAGGTAGTGTTGGAGGGCAGGAACTGCCCCACAATCCCAGCACACCCTTGGGAGGCTCAGCATGCACTGAGTGTGGACACTGCAGCTGCTGCCAGCAGTTTGCTCTCTGAGCAGCCCAGGTTAAAGGGGACTGGCATTTACCTCCAGGGGCTGTAAATCACACCTGGGCAGTAAAGTACACAGGGAACTTGGGGAGTAAAGTACACAAGCCACAGTATACAGCATTAGTAGGTGCAGAGTATTATCTGCTGAACTAATTGAATGACTGTGGGTCTTTGGAGCTTATCTAGAGATGGGCAAGCAGTAAATTAATCTACAGCTATGGAGCACCTCTGCTGTGGGAGACAATCTGAGAGAGCTGGGATTGTTGAGCCTGGAGAAGAGGAGGCTCTGGGGACACCTGAGAGCCCCTTGCAGTGCCTGAAGGAGCCTACAGGAAAGCTGGGGAGGGACTTGGCCAGGGACAGGTAGTGACAGGACAAGGGGGAATGGCTTCAAAGCAAGAAAAGGTAGGTTTGGATTAGGTAGGCAGAAGAAATTCCTCCCTGG